CTATATACCCAGTTTGCGGATACGCTGTGGTCAATGATGTAATTTTGCAGTTGTGATAACAGTCCGTCGAACGGAGTGAAGGCGAGCATCTGATAATTGTGAACCAATTTTATATTACAAAAAATAACCACCCCCCCACATTATATATATATATACACACACATATATATATATAAGAAGACCCAATTGCACCACATAAGTACAGTTTGGGGCGGGATTTCTTACCGGAAGGACTTTTTTCACCGTCTGTGTGGACTATCGTCAGTTTATTTGGGCTTTTCTGGCCCGTTTTGGGATCGGTATCAACACCTGTGGCAAAGCCAAGAGGGTTTATTGATTTAAATATAGCTGATGTATGATCTGTGTCCTATCAATAGTTCAGGGATTGAGACGTACGAACTGTACACGCATGTGTCAGTGAATGCTTTAACAAGCACATCTGTGTCGGTGTGTGTTTAAATGACACGTGGAGCTATACCCAGCTTCCATGCAATAGGCAGCTACGACGTTGGTGCCCATGTAAACCATAGACCCTAGAACCAGATGTATCTTAAGACCTGTGTAGTACCCGAGCTACAACTTGGCAATCGAGCCTGTGAGCTGTTGAGATCGTATTACAACAGGATTTCGGAAGTCGAATGTATACACCTGTATCATCCTTAAAATTGTGAACTCATTTACGCGCTGGACGAAGAACTGATACGTTGATCACTTTAAACTGGAAGAAAACTGAAGTATACGTATAGCATAGCAATGTCAGCCTGGCAAGGATCCCGATATATATACATACATACATATATACATACAAACATACTTACATACATACATACATACCTACATACCTCATATATATATATATATATATATATATATATATATATATATATATATATATAATAATATATAATATATATAATATATAATATAAATATAAATACAAATACAAATACAAACACACACACATATATATATATGTATATACATATATATATATAAATATATATATATATATTATATATGTAAAAAGTGGACCTACTCAGTTTAAGTGGGACCTCT